CCCCTTCACCTCAAAGTTGTGGTTCTTACGTTTAATAGCTGTGCATGTGCCCAAAACCCTGACATTTCCCATTTGGCTACCTTGAACAGTTTTTTGTTGAGTTGGGAGGTTTCTCAATTAAAAGCGGTGATTTTCTGTTTCGAAACTCATCCTTTTGGCTTGCTTTCTCTCCCTCCTTCAACAAAGGAGGGGGGAGGGAATCACCGATGGTATGAAGCCTCAAATTGAAGTCTATAAAGATCACAGCTTTATGCTGCCAATAACTGTCAGTTTGGGCCACCTTCCCAAAGTCCAGATCACCTGTCCTCAGGGTCCCCCAAGTCTTCCAGGCCGAGGCTGGCAGAGAATTCCACAGATAAAAGTAAAACTTTTTGGGGAGTGGGTGGGAAAGGGTTGCTCAAGATGAACCGGTTAGCAGGGGGGCAGCTGATGACTCTTGTTAGGGTAGCTTTTAAGAGAGCCATGGCAGAAAACATTGTGGCTTTATTTATTTTCTTTTTAGAGAAAGCATGCATTTAATTAAGTATGGTTTCAGTAACAATATTCAGTTTTCATCACTGCTTATTTCTAAGAGCTTGGTATATCTTTAAAAGCAATATTAAATTCCTGACATCCTGTTGAGACTGCCCTGTTTTAGGAAAACTGAAATTCGGAAATGACTTAGAAGGATATTGTATTATGTTATTGGTGGCATGAGTGACTTTACTGTTCTCAAGATTATCTTTCTATTTATGTTACAGTCTTTAAGTGGAGCTGGGGAGCCAGGAAGGAGGGGAAATTTTCCTTTACGTTGGGGTTGGGCACTTTACTTGTTGGCGAGCATTCTGAGTAGCGTTGGTGTAGTTATTGATTCAAATGGCTTTCTTTAGGAAACTCCTGGAACCTCACTGCCATGATAACTAGAGAGTAAGTTCAGCGTGAGGCTCTTCTGTGTTTCGATGCTATGTGAAAAGGTGGGTCATAAGTTTTAGGACACAGGAATTGGGGATTTCAATGAGGCTCGAGTGTCCGTGTTTTATCATGGGAAAAGCAGGTTCCCCGTGTGGCAGGCATGATGGCCGCTGCCTCTGGTGCCGAGTAACGGTGTTCGCGTCAGGACAGTAGTGTGTGTCTTCGCCTCTGTTTCTCTGAAAATGTGTACTTGAACGCCACAGTTGCTTTTTAGTGGGTGGAGCCAGTTTTTTTCCAGAACTGGAAATTTAAGTAG